ATCACCCCCAGAGCACCTCCCGAAGCAATCCAGGCTGTGCGGGAACACAAGGCTGAGCCGGCCACATGGCCCGCGGGAACCCTCCCCGCCCACTCACCTGGCAAAATTTGCCTGCTACATTGCTATTTTTCCTTTTTTTTTCTTCTTCCCAACCATCAGTTGTTCTGCTGTGCCGGGAGATTTAGATTAGCTAGAACAGTGGTCACCAACCAGTGGATCGGGTGACCACTGGTGGTCTGCGAGAAAATGTTGGTGGTCAGCAGAGAAATGTCACCCTCAAAGCAATTAATCCAGGCTGCGCGGGAACACAAGGCTGTGCCGCCCACATGGCTCGTGGGAACACAAGACTTGTGTCGCTTGCATTGGCAACAACACGAGGTAGTGAGGGGAAGGGGGGAAAGGGCAGAGTGGGGAACTCAACCCATGTGCCTCGCCTGGCCACTGGGCTGCTTCTTTCCACTTCTTTCTTCTTCTGCTTTTGGCTGCACGCAAGGAAAGCAGCCAAAGTCTTTCTTTCTCTCCCCCAAACTCTGCCAGAAATGAGTCTTTGGGACCCTGCAAGGCCTCGTGCTCCAAGAGGCTGCTCCAGCGTGACAAGTCTCACAAAGACTCATTTCTGGCAGAGTTTGGGGGAGAGAAAGAAAGACTTCTGCTGCTTCTGCTGCTTTCCTTGCATGAAGCCAAAAGTCTCTCTCTCTCTCCTCCTAAGAACGGAGCTGGAGACGGTATCCTGCGATCCCAAATAAAGAATGATCAATCGGTAGGAAAATGGAGTGAGGAATTTTCCTGCAGCCTTTTGGGGGGATTTTCCCAGGGTCTCTGGTCCGCGGGATTTGAAATGATGCATTTGGTGGTCCCTGAGATCCAAAAGGTTGGTGACCCCTGACTAGATGACCTACAAGGTCCCTTCCAACTCTGTTAATCTCTAATCTGTAAAAGTGGCTAAATTTGGAGTTCCCTGGAGTAGAGAGACAGATATACCTGTGAAGTTGCATGTCTGTAATTATGGGGAAAAAATATATCCAGATCTAACAATCTTCATGGCATAGAGCCTCCCCTGACTCTCACCCTTGATTCAGCAGTCTGCATTTTGTACATGCTCAGTGGCACTCTTGCCAAAGAGCAGGATTCGATCCGGCATCGAGTGGCACCCAAACCGTAAGGGTGGAAATATTTCCTTTGCGCTCCTGCAACGGGTTAATGCTGCCTGGGCCAGGTAAATCACGCCTCCAGGTAAAAGCTGCAGAATTTCATTTCCTGCACACCTGTACTCACCTGCTCCCAGGATGCTGGAGCTTGTCAAACCCACAACCGGGGGAGGGGGGGAGAAAAGCAGGAGAAACTTGCAAACAGCCTCAGGGTGGGGTGTTCAGAACGCAAGACTTTTGAATCGCCTTTTAATCCTACATAACTCCTGGGTATTTGCAGGACCGGTCCAAAGGCTGTTAGTTCTCATAGGTACAGCAAAAACCCACAGGGAGGGTTGTAACCTATCCGTGGTTCACATCAGGACATTTTTCTGGCATATTTTGTAATACTTGGTGCAGGGGTAGCAAGCTGGCTGGATGACTGTACTCCAGCAAAGAATTGGAAACATTTCCTGAGCTCACACTGCATTGCAAAATTATGTATCCATCAATCCTTTTTTATGATATAGAATAGAATAACAGTTGGAAGGGACTTTGGAAGGGACGTCTTCTAGTCCAACCCCCTGCCTATACCACAGGAAACCCTATACCACTTCAGACAAATGGTTATCCAATATATTTTTAAAAACTCCCAGTGTTGGAGCGTTTACAACTTCTGGAGGCAAGCTGTTCCACTGATTAATTGTTCTCACTGTCGAGAAATTCCTCCTTAGTTCTAGGTTGCTTCTCTCCTTGATCCGTTTCCACCCGCTGCTTCTTGCCCTGCCTTCAGGTGCTTTGGAGAATAGCTTGACTGCCTCTTCTTTGGAGCAGTTCCTGAGATATTGGAACAGTCCTATTGTGTCTCCCCTAGTCCTTCTTTTCATCAGACTAGCCAGGCCCAGTTCCAGCAACCGTTCTTCATATGTTTGAGCCTCCAGTCCCCTAATCCTCTTTCTTCCTCTTCTCTGCACTCTTTCTTGAGTCTCAACTTCTTGTTTACATCGTGGCGACCAAAACTGAATGCAGTATTCCAAGTGTGGCCTTACCCACTACCATATGGTAGTCCTTCAATTGCAACCATTCGTTTAGTGACTGTTCGAACTTCCATGGGATTGGAAACAGTGATTTCCAGCTGGTCCTCACCCTTACAACAATTGCCAATATCCCAGGAGCTGCCACAAAGAACAGGAGGTCAACCTATTCTCCAAAGCACCTGAAGGCAGGAGAAGAAGCGACGGATGGAAACTCAACAAGGGGAGAAGCAACCTAGAACTAAGAAGGAATTTCCTGACAGTGGCAACAATTAACCAGTGGAACTGCTTGCCTCCAGAAGTTGTGGATGCTCCATCACTGGAGGTTTTGAAGAAGAGACTGGACAGGCATTTGTCTGGAATGGTATAGGTTCTCCTGCTGGAGCAGGGGGCTGGACTGGAAGACCTCCAAGGTCCCTTCCAATGCTGTTATTCTGTTACTTAATATATGGAAACTCCTCAGAAGGAAATCCAACCTAAAACTAAGGAGTCATTTCCTGACACTTAGAACAATTAACCAGTGGAACAACTTGCCTCCAGAAATTGTGGGTGCTCCAACACTGGAGGCTTTCAAGAAGGAACTGAAAAGTCATTTGTCTGGAATGGTCTAGGGTTTCCTGCCTAAGTGTTGGGGGGAGTTGGACTTACAAGACAGTAGGTATAAGTAAAAACATAGTTATGAATACATGGATACATATAAGAAAAAGAATAAAATATATAAAAGAAACAATAGGACAGGGATAGTAGGCATGTTGGTGCGCTTATGCACGCCCCCTACAGACCTCTTAGGAAAGGGGTGAGGTCAATAGTAGACAGTCTAAGGTTAAAGTTTTTGGGGTTTGGGGAAGAAACCACAGAGTCAGGTAGAGTATTCCAGACATTGACCACTCTGTTGCTGAAGTCGTATTTCCTGCAATCAAGTTTGGTGCGGTTTACCTTGAGTTTGTGTCTATTGTTTGCTCTTGTGTTGTTATGGTTGAAGCTGAAGTATTCATTGACAGGTAGGACATTGCAATGTATGATTTTATATACTATACTTAGATCGGACCGAAGGCGGCGTAGTTCTAGGTTTTCTTGGTCTAGAATTTCGGGTCTGGTGGCATAAGGTCTTCTGCAACAAGTAGAGGAGTGGAGAACTCTTCTTGTGAAATATTTCTGGATTTTCTCAACTACAGTATTATATAATATTATATAATGTATAATAATGTTCTGTTCTGTTCTGTTCTGTCCTGTCCTGTCCTATCCTATCCCATTCCATCCCATTCTTCTCCAGACCATGGGAAAGCACTTCAAAGTAGACCTAAACAATATGTTTACTCATCACTCTGTCTCTCAGTTGCCCGGCACTGGCAAAGCAGGTTTGATCTGGAGCTGCCCCTGTCAATTCAATCATGATTCATGGATTCCCAACTCCCTCCCACCCCATCCGGCATGACCAGGCCTATCTCCAGACAGCCTTTCCATCCTGTTGCGCTGCCCTCCAAAAACCCAGCTGGCCATTGGGAAGCCAGCCCTTTTCATCCCCTCTGCCTCCACCCTTTGGGTCAAATGGTAAACAACCTGCCAGAAATTGCAAGGCAGGGGAAAGTTGGAGGATGTTGAAGGGTTGGGAAGGCAGCCAAGAGAAGCCAGCTTCTCCAGTTCTGAAGCTTTTTGGAGAGGGATTGGGAAGAGAGAGAGAAGGGCAGGGACAAAAAAAATCTGCAAGGTGTTTCCCCCAAGGAGCAGGAAGTGCACACACAAATTGCGCACCTCCTGCAGATTGATGGAAGAGGAAGTTTCTAGCTCAGGGTTGAACTGTGGGGCTCCTGGCTGCTCTCTGGGCTTGGTGGCTTTCTTGCAGATGTTGGATAACTTCATCAGTGCTTGAAGGGTGGGGGAGGAGAGAACTGTGGGGTCCTTGGTGCTCTCTGAGCTTGGTAGTTTACTTGCAGACATTTTATTAGCAAAGCATGTAACGTTATCAGTGCTAGCAGGGCCTGGGGTTTGCAGAGTAGGGAAGGAGGAGGTGGAGGAGGATAGAGAAGAAGAAATAAGAGAAGGAGCAGAAGAAAGAAGAAGAAGAAGAAGAAGAAGAAAAAGGAGGAAGAAAAGGAAGAAGAAGAAGAAACGGTGGGGTCCTTGGTGCTCTCTGAGCTTGGTACTTTTCTTGCAGATGTTTCATTACCAAACTAGGGAACATCATCAATGCTGAAGTTACCTAGTTGGGTAATGAAACATCTGCAAGAAAACAGCCAGACTGAGAAAGCACCAAGGACCCCACCATCCTCTTCTTCCTCCTCCTTAGATCCAGGTTGCTTCTTTCAGTTTCCATCTCTTGCTTCTTGTCCTGCCTTCAGCTGCTTTGGAGAATAGCTGGATTCCCTCTTCTTTGTTCCTTTAGGGAAGGAACAGATAGAGATTAATAGACTCAGAAAGGACCTTGTAGGTCATCTAGTCCAACCCCCCACCTAAGCAGGAGGCCCTACACCATTTTTGACAGATGGCAGTCCAGTCTCTTCCTGAAAGCCTCCAGGGATGAAGCTCCCACAACTTCTGAGGGCAACTTCTGTTCCATCGGTTGATTGTCCTCACTGTCAAGAAATTCCTCCTTATTTCCAGGTTGAATCTCTCCTTGATCAGTTTCCATCCATTATTCCTTGTCTGGCCTTCAAGGGTGCTTTGGAGAATAGCTTGACCCCTTCCTCCTCTCCGGGGCAGCCCCTCAAATATTGGAAGACTGCTATCATGTCTCCCCTGGTCCTTCTCTTTACTACACTAGCCAGGCCCAGTTCCTGTAACCCTACAATGTATGTTTTAGTCTCCAGGCCTTTAATCCTCTTAGTTACTCTTCTCTGCACTTTTTCTAGAGTCTCAACCTCTTTTTAAAAGTGTGGTGACCAAAAGTGGATGCCGGATTCTAGGTGTGGCCTTAATAAGGCTTTATAGAGT